CCATTATAAGAGTCTACCACACTTTGTTTATCTGTTCATCCCTTCATCGACATTAGGGTATTTCCATTTTTTGGCTTTTTGAGTAATGCTTCTATGAAGACATATTTTTATTACTTTGGGGATGGAATATCTGGGTCAAATGGAAACCATGTTTAACCTTTTGAGGAACTGTTTCAAAGTAGCTGCATTGTTTTATATTCCCAACAGCAGTGAACCAAGGTTCCAGTTACTCCACATCTTTGCCAAACACTGGTTACTCACATATTTTGATTATAGTCATCCTGGCGGGTGTGAAGTGTTATCTCATTGTGGTTTTGATTTGCAATTTCTTGTTGGCTAGTGATGCTGAACATTTTTTAATGTATTTTTGGCCATTTGTATGTCTTTGGAGAAATGTCTATCAGATTCTTTGCCCATTGTTAAATTGGGCTATCTGTCTTTTTATTATTAAATTGTAAGAGTTCTTTATATATTCTGAATACAAGTCCTGTATCAAAAATTGACTTGCAAATATTTCCTCCTATTCTGTAGGTTATCATCCCTTTTTTGTTTTTGTTCCTTTGCATTTAATTTATTGGGGTGACACTGGTTAACAAAATCATACAGGTTTCAGGTGCACATTTCTACAGCAGATCATCTGTACATGGTATTGTGTGTTCACCAGCCCAAATCGAGTCTCCGTCATCACTATTTATCCCCCCCAATACCCTTCTCCATCTCTTCTCACTCCCCTCCCACCGGCATTCACCACACTGCTGTCCGTGTACCTGAGTTTTTTTCTCTTTTGCTCACTGTCTGCCCACGCCCCACCCAACACAGCTATCAGCCTGTTCTCTATCTAGGAGGCTGTTTCTGTTTTGCTTGGTTGTTAATTTTGTTCATTAGATTCCACATTTGAGTGAAATCATAGTGTACTTGTCTTTTCTGACTGGCTTATTTCATTTAGCACAATGCTCTCCAGGCCTATCCATGCTGTTGCAAAGGCTAAGATTTCCTTCTTTTTTATGGCAGAATGCTATTCTGTTGTTAAATTTACCACAGCTTTTTTATCCACTCATCTACTGATGGGCACTTGGGCTGCTTCTAATTCTTGGCTGTTGTAAATAATGTTGCATTAATTCTTTTGAAGGAGTGTTTTGGATTTCTTCAGATAAATTCCCAGAAGTGGAGTTGCTGGGTCATAAGACAGTTCCATTTTTAACTTTTGGAGGTAACTCCATTCTGCTCTCCATAGTGGCTGTTCCAATCTGCATTCCCACTAGTAATTCTTTTTTCTCCATAGCCTGCCTTTTCACTTAAAGAAAATTTTTTTTATTCATTTCAGAAAGTTGGAGAGGGAGAAATAGAAACATCGATGATGAGAGAGACTCATTGATCGGCTGCCTTCTGCACGCCCCCTACTAGTGATTGAGCCTGGAACCCAGGCACATGCCCTTGACTGGAGTCTAACCTGGGATCCTTCAGTCCACCCGCCACTTCTCTATTCACTGAGTCACACCGTCTAGGGCGGTTTTCACTTTTTTGATAGTGTACTTTGAATCACAAAAGTTTTTTATTTTGATGATAATCCTATCTATTTTTTTGTTGTTACTTGCGCTGTTGGTGATACTCCTTTGAAACCATCCTATATAATAAAAGTGTAATATGCAAATCGACCGAATGGTGGAATGACCAATGGGTGGGGGGTGGGGCTGATGAGCAGGTGGCGCCAGGCCAG